CACGAGCGTACGCGAATTTGCTCTCTCCCTCATTATTTGCATCCGTATAATATTATGTAATATATTTAATCAGCTTTTTCGTTCATGAACACATAATTAAACTATACGTTTCGGCGATGTATGATCATCTGTCTAAACAAGAATTAAAGCAATTCAATACAACGATAATGATTTATTTGTTTGCTTGGCAATCAATTTAAGTTGCTTCGAAATGCGCTGTTTCCTTAATGGCTAATTACAGTTCAGTATTGTTATTAGTTGAGTGATTACGAACAATTAGATAACAAGTTGAAGCCTATTTCGAGTTTCCCTTAATGACATTTGCGTATATTTTCTTGATATATCTTTTTCTAAGTGATGGTTGATGCTTGAAATGTTGGCGTGTATTTTGATTTGTTTATTTTTTTGTGTGTTTTGACATGTTATCGTTATAATTGGTGAAATTAAAGTAATTAAAGAACGGTCCCAAAAACGAAGTGGTTACCTTATTTCGTTTTGCGTCAAGTCTAGCGATAATTGGCGATTATATAATACGTTGAACGGAGGTAATTTATTGTGAGTTTGCATGCATAGATTTCAAATTCATATTATTTTTTGTCACAGTAATTCATTGTCAAATTTATATTGAGCGACGTTTACACTAAGTGTCGATTTGCATTGAAATTAATTAAAATTAATTGATTTTAGTAGTTTGGTTTAAAGTTAACTTTAATTAAATATGACTCTTATGTATTAAAAGTGACTTACAAATTATAATTAATCATGTCATCCGTTAATTTGTATATAAAGCTGCCTCCAGATTTCTACACTATATGTGCTATGAAACGTAAAAGTCTATAATAACTATTATGTAAAATTATACAAATATTTTAGTTATTTATTCTTAATTTGATGTTATGAAATTTACATATTTTATATATTTTAATGTTTAGTAAACTTGGATTATATAAAATAATTGATATTATTATTAAAAACTTGATTAATTTTAAAGATGCATCTGCACGTTAATGTAACATGAGATACTATAGAAGAACCCCAATTGTCAATGTAAATAAACTGGTTTCAGTTATTAAAATTTGATAGTTTGGTATAATATAAAGCTGCCTCCAGACTTCTACACTATATGTGATATGATACGTAAAAGTCTATAATAACTATTATGTAAAATTATACAAATATATTAGTTATTTATTCTTAATTTGATCTTATGAAATTTACATATTTTATATATTTTGATATTTAGTAAACTTGGATTATATAAAATAATTGATATAATTGTTAAAATCTTGATTAATTTTAAAGATGCGTCCGCACGTTATTGTAACATGAGATACTGTAGAAGAACCCCAATTATCAATGTAATTAAACTGGTTTTAGTTATTAAAATTTGATAGTTTGGTTTAATATAAAGCTGCCTCCAGACTTCTACACTATATGTCATATGATACGTAAAAGTCTATATTAACTATTATGTAAAATTATACAAATATTTTAGTTATTTATTTTTAATTTGATGTTATGAAATTTACATATTTTATATATTTTGATGTTTAGTAAACTTCGATTATATAAAATAATTGATATTATTTTTAAAAACTTGATTAATTTTAAAGATGCATTCGCACGTTATTGTAACATGAGATACTATAGAAGAACCCCAATTATCAATGTAATTAAACTGGTTTCAGTTATTAAAATTTGATAGTTTGGTATAATATAAAGCTGCCTCCAGACTTCTACACTATATGTGCTATGATACGTAAAAGTCTATATTAACTATCATGTAAAATTATACAAATATTTTAGTTATTTATTCTTAATTTGATGTTATGAAATTTACATATTTTATATATTTTAATGTTTAGTAAACTTGGATTATATAAAATAATTGATATAATTGTTAAAAACTTGATTAATTTTAAAGATGCGTCCGCACGTTATTGTAACATGACATACTATAGAAGAACCCCAATTATCAATGTAATTAAACTGGTTTTAGTTATTAAAATTTGATAGTTTGGTATAATATAAAGCTGCCTCCAGACTTCTACACTATATGTGATATGATACGTAAAAGTCTATATTAACTATTATGTAAAATTATACAAATATTTTAGTTATTTATTCTTAATTTGATGTTATGAAATTTACATATTTTATATATTTTGATGTTTAGTAAACTTGGATTATATAAAATAATTGATATTATTATTAAAAACTTGATTAATTTTAAAGATGCATCTGCACGTTATTGTAACATGAGATACTATAGAATGTAATTAAACTGGTTTCAGTTATTAAAATTTGATAGTTTGGTATAATATAAAGCTGCCTCCAGACTTCTACACTATATGTGATATGATACGTAAAAGTCTATAATAACTATTATGTAAAATTATACAAATATTTTAGTTATTTATTCTTAATTTGATGTTATGAAATTTACATATTTTATATATTTTAATGTTTAGTAAACTTGGATTATATAAAATAATTGATATTATTGTTAAAAACTTGATTAATTTTAAAGATATAGAAGGACCCCAATTACCAATGTAATTAAACTGGTTTCAGTTATTAAAATTTTATAGTTTGGTAGGAAATGTAGTTTATCTTGATGATTTTCGGTACGTTTTTGTGTTAATTAAGTGGTCGCAGTTGTATGTTATTGTGACTAGTCTTATACACAGTGTGTGTGCAGCTTTACATATTAAAATTTCATATATTTTACCATAAAGTTTGGTAGAAAATGTAGTTTATATTGACTTTCGACATGTTTTTGTGTTAATTTTGAGTGATTACAGTTGGCATGTTTTGTGATTAACTTAGTGCTTTTTTTTTGAGGATATAACAGTTGTTGCTTGTGAATACGGTTAAGTTGGCAATTGGATTAGAAGAAGCGTGCGAGTCGGGGGGTCTAGGTCTTCGTTGTTGGGGGTGGTTTGCATTTTTTTTTGGTCTTGGGGATGGTCGACGCGCGAAAGAAAAGCAGGAAATGCAACCAGACCTAAGCCCGAAAGCAGCAGAAGCAGTAGTCCTCCTCGCCCCCGCTTCTTACCCCCGGGATGACGAAATAACCAATCAATATTAAACTCCTTGCACTCAATACTATCTTCCGCGTGTATGTACATACATTTTTTTAGCATTTTTTCCTAGCTGCAGTTCTTTTTCTTATTTCTGTAACCCAGTTCTGGAGGCGCCGCCGTCTTCAGTTGGCGGAAAACACGGGAACTAAGTGCATCTAGATGCGCTCGCGTGCAGTCGTCGAGATAATGTGCGCACTATATATGTATATGTGTACCAGCGTCGTATATGTGCATGCACATGCACACACACACACGTAATATTCGCTCCCTCAATCTCTAACGAACGTGCTAATTAACTCGCTCTTACTACATGTGACTAAATTACCAAAGTGTTAAAACCTTCCTTTCTGCGACCGCCGCCGCCCCCAAAGTTCGCCGCCTCCACTCGTCTGCCGCAACTCGTACAACATCCTGGAGGACGGGGGCCCCGCGCTTGCGGAACGCAAAACGCATTTACTCTTACTTACTTACCGTATTACCACACCGTGACGGCAGCCGTTTTTAGCACCCCCCCACTCATTGACACCCCCCATCCCTACTTTTTTAATTACCCTCCGCATCCGCGCCCCGCTCGAAAGTTGAGCGCGCGACACCCTCAAACAGCAACAAGCAACAACAAGAAATAAGAAACAACAACAACAACTCTCGATTCCTATGCAACATAAAAGTTCCTCAAGAAAATATATTATATATACACATAAATATATTTGCATCGCAAAGTTCCTAATATCGTAACAATATTTTATATCTACATTACTACATTACAACAACAAAACACAACAAAAATATATCGAAGCGAAGAAAGAAGCGACTTCTCAGTGTTTCAAGTGTCTAAATAATCTATAAATATTATACATAAAGTAAAGTATATTAAATTTATACAAACAAGGGCAAGACAACTTTCATTATATTTCTATTTTCTTATTTCTAAAAATCATAAATTCTCTTTTTATCAAATAAAAAGGGTGGTTTTCAAATTATTAAATAAAAATAATTATTTAGGATGAAAATCTAGTAAGTATTGACAATTATTTCATAATATACAAAAAATAATCATAAATTAAAAAAAAAATATTACTACTAAAATAAATTATAAATCTATCTAAAATGGTTATAAGTAATTGATTTTATTATATATTCAAATAGAAAAGCAAGTTTGCTTAAATCTATTATTTTTTTTATAAGAATCCACAAATTTTAAATTATTAAGTAATTTTATAAAATTGGAAATACTTTTTTTGATTTGCAATTTATGAGAATTACAAAAACTGTAAATGAAATCAGAATCTTTATTAGCAATACAAATCAAATGTGGAAAATCAATGTTTAAGGATGAAAGATCGATGAAGTTGAAAAAAATAATTATATTTGATTGAGAAATATCTTTTTGGATTGATATGAGAAGCAATTACTGGAGTTTCTTCGTATTTGGGTAGGCGAATCAATCAAGTTGAATGCAACTAATTACGCGTAAGCTCGCAATTAAAAATGCAATCGTGATCCCAGGACCATTTAGGAATTCTCCAAAAAAAAAATAAAAATTAAATTATATTGCAACTACCCGAACTTAATTGGCAAAATAAAAACTGCATGCAGAGGAGGAAGACCCACCGACTTTCCAATTATTCGATCGCGGCTCAATTAATTAAAATTATATTTTTAATTGCATACAAATAATATTGATTGAGTATTGATTTTATTTATTTTGTTTGGGTTTTCAATCGAAGTACATTTTTTGATTCTAAATGTTACAAATAATTTGAAAAGAATAATCTAATTGGAATTGTTTAGTAGAACTTTGCGGTGCGATGAAGAATTTTGTTGTTGCAATTTCAGGATTTAGATGTAAATTTTTATAAGAACATATTTACATATATGCTTGTACGTTGGCGTTTTTTCAACGTTAGAAGGTTTGAGTAGTAAGTGCAGTTGCCTAATTTTTCTTCGTCTTTACTAAAAAAAAACTGTGGACATTTGGTGAGTGTGATTGTGTTATGGGTGTATAGATTCTTGTTGCGTTGAGTATAGAAGGTTAAGAAGATGACGGCTGTTCGCGAGGTTCCTGAAAGCGCCTTGGAGAGTTCGGACTCCTCGGATTCTTCTTCAATGAACAACAACGATTCTTCCGTGTCTGGAATACAGCTGTACAAGTCCGGCGCCTTCAGCAAGTGCAACAGCTTCGTGAACAAACTGGACTCGTACAACAACAACCAACTGCTGCTTCCATCTCAGTTCTACAAGACTTTGCTCGCGAAAGCAGTGCTTCAGAGCAACGACGATAAGGCTAACGTCTACAAGAACATGCTCTTCCACAAGGACCGCGACTTTGATCAGGTAACTGCCGGAGCGCGACGGATCCGGATGAAGCTGTCGACTAGACTAGAGAACTCTAGTTGTAATTGACCGGCAATTAGCTTATAAAATGTAATACTTTCTTACCAACGTCGTCCTCACCTCTTCGTCGTCGTCCTCTTCTGGTAGAGTGTTGAAACGCGCCATTTCGCCGATCAATTATGCAAATCGTATGCGTGTCATTAAGGATATCGCTTATTAATCGCTAAAGCTAACGAGACAGCTGAAATGATCGCGCTGCCGCCGCCACCACCGCCGCCGCCGCCGCCGGTCGCACCGAAACGCACACATCCTGCTGCAATGCACACATATAAACATTTAATGGATACCCGGTCGCATAATGATGATAATAATGCGAGTGGAGATATTAGCACTTTAAACTTAATGGCCTCCTTTTATAATCCAATACATTCCCAGCAAAACGACTGCAATATACACGTTTATTTCGGTACCACCAGAGGTTATCAAACCTTCAACATGTGTCGTGTCGTCTACACACTAACTGTTGATCATCATCAAAAGCTTCAATAAACGAGACACCCCCTGATTACGTAGAAACCGAAATCGATAATTACGTTGTGTGAATGCAACAAGTCCTCAGTAATTTATCACAAGCAAATTATGAAAGTCACATCATTAACAATTTAGTTTACAAATAATTACCTTACTTTTCAGACGATAAGACGCATCCAAAATTTATTAGATAATTAAAAAATATATATTTTTCTTTATTGTCATCGATAACATTAGTAATTAGCTATTAAACTCAGTTTATAAATAATTACCTTCACGATAAGACGCACTCCAAATGTATTATACAAATATATTTATTTCAAACTTTAAAAAAATGAAATTTAATATATAGAAATATTCACCAAACTGACTTTGTAAACTTGAAACGATTACATTTTTTACGTGGATTTCTTCTTGTGATATTTTCGGGTACCTGAATTCTTCGATGTAGGCAACTTTAATTACGCGTTTTAAATTATGCACGCTGATCTAATGATCTATAATTAGTATACGTTAATTCAATGAGAATTTTGATAAAAAATAATTTTCGTTGCATTATAAAATATTTAAAGATTATTGAATTAAGTAGATCCAATTGTTAATACATGATTATATCACATTAATTCGCTACAATTAGTATAGTTTTCTTCAGTCGAATTTTCAGTTTTGATCGTTTTTGATTTTTATATTTAAATTTGATTTAATCCATGAATAAATGTATGTAGGTTTTGTTATAATTATAATGCAATAAGAAAATATAATTATTAATCAATTATGAACGATTCATATCTTGATTTCTTCAATTATTATTAGTTGAATTTATGTAATAAAATATGCTAAGTTTTGATTGTGACGAGACTGAATGATTTTCTGCTCCCAATTCTGAATTATTATGTAAACTTGTGACTTTTAAAGATTATTGAATTAATTAGATATTATTGTTAATACATTTGTACTTTATGATTATATCACATTAATTCGCTATAATTAGTATAGTTTTGTTCAGTCGAATTTTAGGTTTGGTCGTTTTTGATTTTCATATTTAAATATTTGTTATTATTGCATTGCAATAAGAAAATATAATTATTAATCAATTATAAAGAAATCAAGATATTTTGAACAATTATATTTTTATGTCTTGCTTTCTTCTTCAATTAATATTCAATGAATTTACGTAATAAAAGATTTGAAAATCTTCTAGCAATTCTAAATTATTATGTGACTAAAATTGTTATTTGGACATTTTTGTCCTTGTTTTTGTTGTTGGATGAGATATTTTATGCAGTTCTTTCTTCTAGAAGGCTTTCGGCTGGGAAGGCGGTCAGAGCGGCGGTAGTCCTTCTGGTCCTCAATCCGGTGGTGTCGGCAGCCAAGGGGCCCAAGGACTGGTCCATTGGATGAGCGTGATGGCCGAGCACATGGATCCTGCCGTTCAGCATTACATGTCCTGGAACCAAGAGGTAAGTCCAACAATTTATACTTTCATAACACAACAAACGTCATCATCAATATGTGAAGTCCTTTATTTACGTTTTTTTTCTATTAAACAGAATCTTGACTCAGAAGAAACGTTTACTAACAAAAAAAAAAAGTAAATAACGCATAAAGCTTTCAAGACTCATTGAAGCTTTTTCCACTCGAGTGGAAAACGTCGCTTTTTTTTTCTGTTCATCGTCTGTCCTTTTATCTCGCGGCGAATGTTCATTTTTCGGAATGAGTCAATAAAATCAAATTTACGATATGTTTATAATGGGGTTGGACTTTTTTTTTTTATTGAAGCAAGGGTTGGTTGCAACAACAACAACGGCGTCTCTTTACCATTATTCGTGTGCTGTTTTCTTTCTTTCCTTCCTCTATTTCTTTATTCTGTCGAGCAATTGCGATGCTAATCAACCCTTAAAACGTCTCGTAAACTTGGCGCAAGTCACTAGTGGTCCATTGTGTAGCTCTGCACAATTAAATCGTCTCGTATTTCGTCGATACATAAAGTATTGGAAACGCAACAACCTCCCCTTTCGGAAGGGTTTCTGAGGTTTGGCGACGAAGGGTGGTTTGGTGGTGGTGATTGCCGATACCTCGCGCCGATTATACGTTTTTATTGACAGGTAAATACAAATACGGGGGGTTGGGGATGTGGGGCCCCCATTGACTACTCAGAGCACAATTAGATTAAAGACCATAAATCGATAATATCTGTTATTGTGTTGTATGTAATTGTGAAAGCCCTTTGTGCGGATGCTGGAAAAGCACGATTAATTCGCTATAAAGTAAACACGCCAACGACACTTTTATTAGATTGTAAAAAATTCTCTCTCACCCCCGTTTTTTTTTTTGCTGTTTCTGTTCAAACCGAAAACGCTCTCGTTCTGCAAACTCGATTAGGTTTCCGAATTATACTGTATACTATGTTTCCTCTCTCTATGTTCTTTTTTTTTTGTATTCACCGCCCAATAAAACATAATGAGTCTCTTAATTTAACCCCTTTTTTTAGCAAATAAATATACAGAGCGCTACATGAAACACGTTTTGTTTCACATGCTTTATTGAAGCTAGTAATTGAATTCACTTATTATTTACACACAAAAAAATTGTTTGATTTCTAAAATTTCATTAAATATTTCTTTTTTAAGTTTAAGGAAATGAATATATTTTCTTTTAATTTTATTATAGTTATTAATAGAAATTTTAAAATCAATTTTCTGACAAATTTGAAGAAATATTAACAATCTAATATTCAAGTTTCCAAAGTTTAATTATTGAATGTTTATAAAATGAAAATATTCAAATATTTAAGCTTCATTTTTTTAGAAAGGAAAAAAATAAGTCTTCTCCCCTTTGTTGACGTTTTTACTTTTTATATTGGAAGTGAAAAAAAGTACTTTGAAGGGTAAATACAGGTTTATTTACATTTATTTTTTTAAATTTAATTTTGAAGGTGTTTTTTTTCTGTGGAATTTAATAAATTTTAACAAATATTATTGCTAATGGATTAATTTTAGCGGTTGAGGATAGTGAATAGGAGGTTATTAGCTATGGGAAAGTAAATGTCGAAGCAGTTGGGAGCTGATTAAAAATGCGTCTTGCAATTAATAGTTCTTTGTGCGATGTTAGAAGCCTCCGGTGATAACCCGTTTTTCATTCCGTCGTTTGGAGAGAAGAGATCGTTTTTCTTGCATTGTCTATGATCGTCAGGTCTAAAGTCTTCTCGATTTGCATACGTGGTGCATATTTGGTCGAGGAAGAAAAAATATGCACGTTTTAGACAATGGCACAAACAACCCCCTCGAGATAATTTCCTTTTTTCTTGCTTCCTTCCTTTCTTCCTTCCACCTAGACCCAATGTCTTTTCCCTCTGTTGGCACGCACCCCACTGTTCTCACGACTCGCATAATCTATCTTCCATTTGTCTATGCCTTAATGGGCCGAGGCGACCGATTTGCATACAACACACACACACACATTCGGTATAGGTATGAAGGAGAGATGAGGTGCATATGCAGATGGGCTCTATCTCACGGGGAACCTCTTCACTACCGAGGGGATACCTCATCCTCTCCTTTTTTTTTATATATATATAATTCTATTTATTTATGCGAGCGCATTTGAATACTACCGGGGTAGAAAAAAGAGCGGTGCACAACCCTTTAATTTTTTTTTGTTCATTTCTTCCGTGGGTATTATCCGGAGGGGTCATTGTTTTTTTACAGCCCCGGGGCCACGGAAAAAAATCTGTGTTTTTTTTTGGTAGTTTTTTGAACTGGTTTATTTTTTTCATTCCTTTCCTGGATGATGATTGTAGTTGTAGGTTTTTTTTTTTGTAGCTGCATCTCTCGTTCTAGTGAATTAAGCGGAACGTTTTATTAAAATTAGGTTACGCAATTGAATGGACGAGCTTTACAATTCATTTTTTTTTGATGTCATAGAAGCGCGTAAAAAACTGGTACATATGTCTCTCTCTCAGGGTTCATTTTTAATTTATAATGTTTGGAAAAAAAATTTGGCTTTAGTTATTTTTTTTTTCTGTTCTTTGTAATAATTTATTTTGCCCTTTGAAACTGTCACGAATTCATTACAATCAAATTTTCATATTTTTTTTTGAGTTAATGTTTGGTAACAATTGTAACATAATTAACAAAATCTCATCCAAATCTAATTGTTAACAATTCAATTAAAATAATTATTTAATTAAGTTTCATTTTGTTATTTTTTTTGTATTTGAATAAGAAATTTATGCTCAAAATGTATTTAGTTTAATTAATAATATTAACAATTTTATCAAAAAAAAAAATCAATTAATTTAAATTAAATTTGGTTAAAATTTACTCAACTTGAATTCAATAAATTTTTAATACATTTTTTGGTATAAATTTTCTAATTTATTAAATACAAAAAACCTTGAAAAATATTTTTTGACTTATTAATTACCGAATTAATTAGATTTTTGTTTACATAATGATGATATGTTTCTCATTTATTTTAATGAATTGAACGAATGATGATGTAATTTTTACGTTTATTATACTAAATTTGGCAAAGTTATTAGTTTCATTTCTCTAGAAATCATCAATTAATTAATTATTTACCGAAAGTGACTTCTGTTGGTTTTAGACAACAAAAAAAAAATGATAATCATATATCAAAAAGTCAAATTAGCAAACAGCAAAAAAAAATCGAACACGCCTCCAGTTATTGACTTGCGGATGTAAACCCAATTAATCTCACTCTAGGATTATACTAACCACTAAAAAAAAAAGAGATCACAATTACCGCTTAATGGGCCCCTAAACATGCTTCTTTTTTTTTTGTAACCAATTTTTTTTCTCATCAACTCAATTTTTTTCTCTCTAAAACTCATTTTTTTTCTCTCGTCTATTTAAAGTTACACGAGGAAGTGAAGAACGAAAAAAAATGAGCAGCGCTTTCAAAAATAGCAACCCCAATTGCCATATGAATGTGTGTATTTTTTTTTTGGTAGTTACGTGGAGAAAAAATGCAACACTGCGAACAGGTTTAGTTTTTTTTTTGTTTTGTTTTTTCATGATGAGGGGAAGAAGAAAATAACTTTTTGGGGGCGAAAAACGTTTTTTTTTTTAATTGCTTGTTTTCGTTGCGGCCGAACGCAAGGGAGATGACGTTTTCGTTCCACAATTATATATTCTGTGTTGTATTTTTTTTTTTCGACTTCTTTATTTTCGCTTCGGCGAGGGATGGTTTTCAGTCGAGATGATCGGAGACAAAACAAATTTGTTAAATGCGGAATTTGTTATTTTTGGAATTTGACTAATTTGGATAGTTTCGAGTGATTTTTACATTTTAAATACAAAATAGTTATTTTTTTATGTTATTTTAGAGTATTTTGGATAATTTCTTACAATTATTAATAAAATTCGTTTATAAATTTAGTATTAAAAAAAAATAATGGTTTTTTTGAGAATTGGGACAATTTTTGGAATTTGATTATAGTCTGGATAATTATGAATCAAATTTAGTATTTAGTTAGATTTATTATTGAAGAAATAGTAAAGTTACAATTGTTATTTTGGAGAAGTGAAAATGTTTGGAAATTGCAAATTAATTAGTTTTTTTTTCTAATTTATATACGAAAAAAAAAAACGATTAAATAAGGAAAGAAAACTTATTTATTGGAATGAATGTTGTAATTATTGTTATATTCAAATATATTATTGTTGTTTATTGGGTAATTTGAGACACGAAAATAGATTGTTTTATTTTTGTGAGATTCTAAGTTAAGAATAGATTTTTTTTATGTTGAAGGAAGTTTTTTTTTGTGGATCATTATGGAAAGCGGACTTTGATGTATTGTATAGTATATTTCATTGTCGCAAAAGAAACGAAGTTCCGAATTTCCATCTTTTGACGTAACAATTACATAACAAAGATGTGTGTTATTTTTCTCCTATTTTTTCGTTGATCGATCGAAGGGATCGAGAAGGAAACCGAATATCTTATTAGCAATTGCTCCGCTCCTAATGGGAATCGATTAGATGTTTGACGTTCCCAATAAAAAATCGATTCAGTCAAAATAAATAAATAGGTCTTCTCGTGTGCTGCTGCATTGTGCTGCGGATGCGGCGACGCTTACCATTCTTCCGCATGTGAAGTGCTCCGGTGTGAAAAGGCCATTGTCTTGAGTAGGGAATCCCCTTTCCCGAAGCGCACTCACCCCAACTGAAGAAGGGAAAGGGTTCAGTTCGGTATGGTCACCCTTCCGGGATCCGTCGCGTCGTCTTCCCGAATTCCCTTGCATAATTCGCTCATTAGAGATAAAAAATAGTGTCCCTCCGTGGGTCACACATAAAAAGAAAGAAAGAATGAAAAGCCTTAGAAAGGAAAAGACTAAAGCCCCTTTGTGTCCTAATGTTCTTCACCTATGCATAAAAATCTGCATAGGCATTGCGTTTAAGATGCGAGAGGGGGTTGTGGACTAGTGAGCGAAGCC